CAGGGTGTCACTATCAAAATGACAGAATATTTTGATCCATGTTAAGAAGTTATGCAGATACTCTGAGCTATGAGGTATAAATCAGGATCATTAGTTGGAGACTCTCAATTTCTGTGCTCCTATTAGCATTCATGGTATTGAGAGGTCAGCTGGAGAAATGTAAAAAGAAGCTGATTGCTTGTCCTCGAGCTGAGAGACTGAATGTTATAGTTTCTGATCAATTCAAGGAAGCAAGGTATTAACTTATAGTCCACGCTACTTTGGTTTTGTCTTTTTTTGGGCCATTTTTCTTATTCTGATAATACAAAGGGTTTTTTTTCTTCCTTATTTTGACATGGATATGAAGATGTTCTCCCGTAAAGTCTTGCTTCCAAGTTCCATCACCAGATAAAGTTTTACAGGTGAATGCTTTTTCTTAAATACATGGAAGTTTGCTTTGGTAAGCATGTCACGTTTTTAATTGCTAAGTGTGATTCAGCTACAGGTTGCTATGGAATTCATGATGCAGTAGTGTGTGTCAGAACTTCTAGGTTAGCCTGCCTTCCCTGTTTGCATCGCTGTCACGCTGCTGAGTAGATGGTGGTGAAGATTAATAGAGCTAGCTAGGGGAAATCTTCGTCATTTGGATTTTGTTTTGTGTACTGCGATCTGCATAAGATCTTCATTTGAGGTATGTCCAAATAATGAATTTATGTTTCTTTATAGTTGAATGTCTTATCTTCTCTCGAGGATTTTGTTGGATGTGAGAAAGTTTCCGTTGAAATTTTCAGTTCGTTATGATGTGTTAAAGGCTTCTCTGCTCATTTACGTTATGTTTACCTTATTCTAATCGTTCCAGTCTATTAACTTTCAACAAACGGACAAGTTTTAACCTTGATATTATGTGGTTCATCCCTATGATGCAAGTATGAAAAAATGGTTATAAAATTATCTATCATTATTTTCATAGTTCCTTTCTTGTGTCACGAGCACAAATTACAAATGCCAGTAAGGTAGATCTTTTAATGCCTGTCCTTTGCAGGTTTATGAAAGCCCCTCCCAGCCTTCCTTGTTCATAATTTTTTACTAGGAATTTGACACCACTTTAAGAAAGTTCTATCAGGTTTTCTCAATCTATTTTGATAGCTGAAGGCATCAATAATTTGATGATCTGTCCAACAAAAAGAAAAAGAAAATTTGAGACCTCCGTTGAATCTTAGGAGGAATTTCTAGTCTTGATCAATTAAGGAGAGCCATAGTGTCTTGGAACATCTTAAGATGATGACCATCTCCTTCCGAAAATTTTTATACAGTTTGATGGGTCGAGCGTCTGGCATGGGTTGTAAAGACATCTATAATATTATGTCTCCAGTGTCAGGTGACTTGTGATATGCTTTGATTCCTCTTATTTGGCCATCCTTGGATGCATTTCTTTGATATGTATATGGAAGAATGGGTAAGCATGTTAGATTGGTATTTTGGGTCAGCATATAATTGGTAGTCTTTCCAAATCCAGTTTCGATGATTTTTCCTCGTCATTTTGATAATTCTGCACGCAATGCTCGAAAGTTTAAGATTATTCAGTGTGTATAAAGCCCTAACCTCATACATATTCAAGAAAATGGAGAACTTCTCTTATAAATAACAAAATACGTGACATCTATCCTATTCCTGCTTACAACATATTCTCAAGGTCTAGAATCCTGAAAGCCAATAGTCCAAGTCTCAAAAACTGCAAATAAGTTGAAGAAGGCAATGCAGGATGCTTTGGAGAAGGGAGAGAGTAGGAAGGAGAAAAACATAGGAAAACAGCAGCAATCAGCAAGCAGAACACTTAACTCACAAGTAATAAAGATTATCAATATTCAATCTTTTATTAATCAAAATCTAAAAAACATAGGATAAGAGTTGTCATATATATGGCCCTTGTTAATTCTATTCCAGCTAAACCTTGTCTTGAACTTGAAGACAGTGATAGAATGCTAATCAACCTAAGTTCCTACTATAAAGGAAAAAAGTTGTAAGCAAACTCAAAATTCTTACGTCCTAAACTAACATATTCTAATTCAACTAATTTATATTCTATTGCAATTGAATTCCTGAGAAAAAATTAAAGACTAAGGCGAAATGCATTAAAATTCGGATCTCTCTCAAAGAAAGGTTGTAAGGATTACTATTGGTGGGCCTCCAGTGATATCTATTTAATACCATATTAAAATTGTCCCAAGCATCTAATTAATTTTAATAATATCTTGTTGTTCCCTCTCCCATGTTGTTAGAATGGTTCATTGCAGGGTTGCAGCAGAAAAATTTTGCGCATTCCCCCAACTCATTTGGCTTCTACAGATAACTGTGAAAAAGAATTCTCTTCTCATTGATCAGATATGTATTATATGCAAATATTCTAGGTCTATAAAAAGTCCTACTAAAGAGAAACTAATGTAAGTCTTAATAAATGAGAATTATAATAAAGGAAGGTCTTAGAAAAATAAATATTATATTTAGTATCCTGTCAAATTGATGGTGGGTTGGTAGCCGAGAGTTCGGATAAGGATTACCAGAAGTGAAAATTTTATGAGCCTTAATGAATGAGTTGGAGCTCATAAGCTAGATGGAGAGAGTCTCGGGAACCAAGGATAGGAATCTAAGGACATTAGTTGTGAACACCTCACTGTAGATTAAGAATCCACGTATATCAATGGAGTAAAACTCGGTCGCATCGAGATAGATGCGATAGGATATGAATCCAAGGATATTGATTGAGAAAAACTCTGCAGCAACAAGATTGATGATGTATGGTAGGGTGGGGTAAAGCAACGACGAGATTGATGATGCGAGAGTTCTTTCATGCTAAGTCGATAATGCAAGTCTTCTTTTTCATGAAAGAACTCTTGCATTATAAGCAGGCTCATGGAACTTGCTTTTCTGATTAAGTCCACCCCAACCCTCCCACCCCCAACAACAAACAAACAAACAAAAAAGAAAGAAAAAAAAATCCACCCACCCAAAAAAAGGAAAATTAAAAAAAACATACACATGCATGTACACAATTAGTTGTGACATTTTCGTCTAATCAGGTCCAAAATGTAGTAGCTACCATTGCTTTCATATGAGTGTGAGTAAGATGGAGGGGGGGGGGGGGGGGGGAAGCTGTACTCTTATAGTATGCAGTTCTCCTATTTAGTTTTGTTAAAATATATCCTTTCTTGATTTAAGAATGTCTTCTACTATACTATCTATTGATCTAGTTAATTTCCATTTTCAGAGATATTGCGAGAAACTGAGATGACAGACCCTAGGCTGTATTAGCCTAAGAGGGGGTGCTTCTTTCATCCACTGGAAGCGTCTCTGAAGACCTCCAGCCCTGGACCTTCTATTCTCTAGTACTATAACCACAGTTGTCCGAGCAATTTTTGAGCAAAGTTGTCTGAAGCAATCACAAGCAAGCAAACCAATGAGGACATCTATAATGGAAATATTGCTGTTATTGGGACTTTCTCGAATTTGGACGATCTAGAATGTGCATCTGACTTTGAAGAAAGCTCTACCTGGTACTACTTCTGAACTCAAGATTCAGTGGAATCTGCTCCACCACATGACAGTTGCATGACATCTTTTTCAGTCTATCACTCTGTAGATTTGATGCCTCTTTAGATGGATGATGAAACATGTGATGGTTTAATGAGTTTGGTGACCATGCTTCAGTCGTTTAGTTTCACATCATTTCTGTATTTATTTTGTCAAGGAAACATTTGACAAGGTTCTGAACTACCCATGAATGATGCAGCGCTGCTAACAAGTCGCCCGTGGGAGTAACCGCAAATCAAATGAAGGTCTGGTTGCTTATGCTGCGGCTTCCCACTCAGACACGTGCACCTATTCCTTTTAGGGTTAATTTAAAAAAGACCCTATAGTATTGTTTTTTTTTTTTGGGTAAAGAGGGAACCCCGGACCCTATAGTATTGTTGTTTCGAACTTACTACCCTTGTAGTCTCATTTTGCCAAATAGACCCTCTTAGTTTGAATTTTTTACTTTTTTGTTTCCCAGGGTGAAATTTTGGCGGACATTGTCTCTGAGAAATTACTGTGTTTATCTGAGGATAAAAGAATCAAAATAAATAAAACAATAAATATCATCCGAGGGGTCTATATGCAAAAATGAAACTATGTCGATACCATAGAGCCTATGTGCAGTTAATACTTCTTTTTATATGACCATTTTTCATTGATGATTCTCGGGAGACTCTGCTTTCACAAATGTATAGGTTCTTCATGGCCTTCGGATTATATATGCTTAGCAATTGATCACTTCGTATTATCTTTGTGAATTTCTTCAGTTTGCTGTCTTGAAACTGTTCAAAGAAATGTATTATTTGTTCATCGTGTTCGTTTTAGTTTATTAAATCACATCATCTGCAGGATAGTTTGTTTATCGTATATTGCAATTTTGTTGTATATATATAAAGTAACTTATAATCTTGGCGAAAAAGTTAAGTTTCTTTATCATCGATGTTGCAATACAACCTAAATATGCGCTATTATCTTTGATTAATTTCAATTTACCACACATCCGTGACGCTGTTAACACCAGCCATCCTTGTCACGTGGAAACTATAAAAACAAAGATATTATTTATGTATGCAGTAACAATGTTCGTTCCTCTCACATTCATCTACAACCCTTCACGAAATTGGAATTATTGAGATTAGACATTTTAAATATTTTACTCTTTTAAATTAATCCTCAATTCCTTCCATTAGTACCCACCATGATTGTCCTATAGTTAATCAGTCAATCAACTAGGCATGTCTCCATTTGTCTTATGTTGTGATGTGTGATCAATAATTGCTACCTCCTCATCTTGAATTATCATCCAGTAGAAGTGCTACAAAAATGGTGAGGGTTCTCCTGATAATTCCACCTCTACTCTTCTTCTCTCAAGGTAAGTCCCACACTCTAACAATTATCTACATTTCGTTGAACATATATTAATTTTATCAATTTTTGGGAATACAGTAATCTGCTTCTCCTCGGCTGCCATCTTCACACTCAAGAACAACTGCCCGTATACAATCTGGCCAGTGACATTATCCACGTCCAATTCTTCGTCGTCTATCGCCGGATTCTCCGAACTCCCCTCCAACTCCACCGCCTCCCTCCCAGCCCGGCCAGAGTGGTCTGGCCGCGTATGGGCCCGCACCGGTTGCCTTCTATCGACCTCCCAAACCACGTGCACCACAGGCGAGTCGCCCCCCTTCACTATCGCCGAATTCAACCTCAACCAACCCACGGACTCCTACGACGTTACTTTAGTGCAAGGGTATTATTAGAAGATATTATTTTTCTTATTTAGTATTCTTGTTGTTTACTATAGATTTTGTTGTTGCTTAGGAGTATTCTTCCTTTTTCTACGTTCTCTTTACTTATTTAGAGTTTTCGTCTCATAGAGATTCTATAAGATGTGTATAAATACGGGATAATAGCCTCTTCTTTATACTGAATAAGAAACATATGGAACTTGTATAATGTAGGTATCGGAGTGAGCGCGTCTGGAGACGGATGCAAGTACGCGGGATGCACGGTCGATCTGAATATGAGATGTCCGGCGGAGCTGAGGGTGGTGGGGCCGGACGGGGAGACGACAGTGGCGTGCAAGACGCCGTGTGAGGCACTTGGGGGCGACGAGTACTGTTGCACGGGGACACACTCGACACCGGAGACATGCAAGAAGACGAGGTACTCGGAGTTGTTTAAGACTGCGTGTCCCAATGCGTATACATACTTGTACGATGATGAGAGCAATACTTTTAGTTGTGGTGATGGGGCTGATTACCTTGTTACCTTTTGCCCTTCTGCATCTTCACCATAGTTATACCAGGAGCATAATAGTTAAAATTTTCAAACATACACCCATAAAGGGCGTAGGTTACCCTACTTACGTTTGTATGCATGATGATCTGACAAATCTGCACTCTAATTGTAGTTGTATGTTTGTGTTAAATGCGGGCTGTTGTTCTTTCTTGTGTTGTTCCTCTGTAATATAATTCGTGTTGGTAAATAGAAAAGAAAACAACTATGGGATAATACTTGTCAATAATTTAAGAGTGTTGACATGATGTGACTTGAGTTGTCTTTATCTATGGTTTAACAAAAGCACATGCTTCTATTACATACTGACTTGAACATAACCAGAAACTTCAGCGTGGCAAGGTTTTGCTTTTTGCATGGTGACAATCCCTGGGCGGTTGTCCTCTTGTTCCTAAAGCAGGCTTTCAAAAATCTTGGTTCAGAATCAAGCAAAATTGATCATTGCAATGCCACCACACTATTAGTTCGAAAAAAAAATCAAAGAAATAATGGTTTAAATATTTGATTTTATATATATATATATATATATATACTCTTTAAAAGAGGGAGTTCATGAAAAACTTTACCATTCCCAAAATAGCCTTCCATCAAAATTAGTTACCAAATGTATCTTGAATTCATAAACCACTTTACTCTTTCATCGGTTATGCCTATATTCCTCCTCTTTTCAATTCATCGGTTATGCCCTAATCCTTACACTTTATATATATATATATATACTCTTTAAAAGAGGGAGTTCATGAAAAACTTTACCATTCCCAAAATAGCCTTCCATCAAAATTAGTTACCAAATGTATCTTGAATTCATAAACCACTTTACTCTTTCATCGGTTATGCCTATATTCCTCCTCTTTTCAATTCATCGGTTATGCCCTAATCCTTACACTTCATCGGTTACGTCTCCTCTGATCTTCCGCTACCTCCACCGACTTTTAAAGATGAATTCTCAGTTCTTCTCATTCATCATCAACATTCTACCTACGTCGTCATCAACGCTTCACCGTTCTTCTCAGATTTTGGGAATTGGTTAGAATTTTTGCTTCTTATTGTTTTAATTTTAAAGAGTAATTTCATTTAATTTGGTTCTAATTTGCCATCATTTAATATTTGTTCTAATTCAACAATAGGTCAATTGTTTTCCGATCTAGGACTTGCTTCAAGTATTCTAATTGATCCTGTGTCAATTTCATCAGGTAAAAATTCTATTTTTATTTTATTTTATTTTTAAAATTCAATTATGTTACTGTGCTGGCTTCAAAATTGAAAATTTGATTTAGGGCTTGCTTCATTTTTTATTTTTTATTTTTGTATTTATAAATGATCAAAAAATCTTAATGATTTACCTAATCATAACTTAAGACAGAAATGATAGATGTGAACTATGGGGATGGCAGAACTGATTTACTCATACCAAGCTTTGAAGTTCAGCGGGTCAATCTGAAAACTGAGATGAATAACTGTCCAGTCACAAGCGTTTAAAAATTAATCCCAACTAAAAATTGAAAATGTAATATCGAAGAGAAATGAAGCAAAGAAATTTGGAGCGTGTAGCTAGAGTAGCAGAGGTTTTTGAATCTTGAGGAACGAAGATGATTGAGAATATGTTGGGTGTCCGTGTGTTTTGGAATATAGTTTAGCTGTAAATGTAGTCAGAGGAAATCAATAAAGGAGACAATTCGAGTTCACATTGTGGTTGAATTAGTGTAATTTTTTGTCCCTTGATATTTAGAGAGATTTTGGGAACTAATAGTTAGACTGTAGGGGTTAATTGATTTGTCATGACACGGCATGCCAATAAACAGTTACAAGAGTTAGCTAGATATAGACCGTCCTTGTCAGATACTGGTGCCAGAGTCAAATTTCAATTGAGCTATTATATTTCAGAGAGGCACTAGGAGCACACCCTCTACCACACCTCCAACCATACCATCTCTCTCGCTACAGTACACCGGGTTCACATGAGATTTTATTAAAATAAAATCTCATGTGGGCCCGATGCACTGTAGCGAGAGAGATGGTGTGGTTGGAGGTGTGGTAGAGGGTGTGTCCGTATCATTTCTATATATTTCAAGCGAGTGTTAGAAGCGCACTCCATGAGTACTATGATATATGTTTGGTACTACGGTGACGGATCATAAAGAATCAGGTATAACAAGAATCATAAACCAGGGGCGAAGCAAGCATTTTTGTTCAGAATAAGCACACAATCAAATCTATAAGGAGTTAAGTACCAGAGCGTGAAGCATTTTACACAAAGAGCAACTGGAATTATGTGAGACTTGAAAAAGTTTCTAACTAAAAGCCTGAACTTTAGACTAGGTATTTATGCGAAAATCCTGTGAGAACGTGCTTGTTGTTCATAAAGAGAACCTGCTATATACAATTTCTCTTTTGTTATTTATTCTCTATACCTAAATCTAATTTGAAAATTGGAATGTGATTTATTCAAAAACAGAACAAAAGCTAGCTAATTTCAATACTATGGATGTCATACAAAAAAGGTATATAATAGTGATGGCATAATTAATTTATGAATTAAAGCATATAATGTTAAAACATAAGAATAAATTGCGATCAATGTAAAAAAGATTGCATGTGCTGCTAAGTACCAACTTTTGCTCATTCGAACTGAAGATGGTGTTTTTCATTGTTAGTTAGGGAAACGCTGTTTCTGCACAGCATGGTGCAATTTTTTATGATGAAGTATTAATAGGATTGGCTTTTTTCAAAGTTATTGTTGATTACAACATACACAAAAGTCTAAACACTGTCTCACATACAAATAATATAAAAATATACTGACTTTTTCTTCAAGCGTTTAGAGAGAAGGGTATATGAGTATGTTTAAGGTTGATCAAATAATTATCAAGTAGTTCACTAATTTTTAATCTAACTATTTGTTTAGATTTGATTTGAATATTATTTACGAAAATTCAAATATTTTATCTATAAAGGAGTTGAATGAATTCACAAATTCAATTCATTTTCTTATAAAATATTTGTCCGTACATTTGATTCCTTAAATTTACGTTACTGTAGATATGAAGTTATGTTTTTATTTCCCTTACATATTTAATCTAGATACTATGCTTGTAAGAACCGATCCCTAAACACAGCCCCCCCCCCAATGTATGGATTGCCAGTTCGAATTTTTTAATCAGACTTTCAAAATATGAATTTAAAATCATCATTGCACAGGAGTATTCTCCAAATATAAATAAATTATTATTAAAATAATCAAATTCTTTAAACTAATGAAAGTATTTTTGTTTAAAGTTACCTTTTTAAACATATCTTTCTAAATAATCTTTTTAAAGTTATCTTATATCAATAACAGACTCAAAAGGAGAATCACATGCTTTCTTTTCTTACCTCGCTTTGGCCCATTGCTGACTAGAATTTTAGTCATTATGCATTTTCAGCTGTCCTTTTTTGGGTGTATAATTCATCTTTATCAATATGGCTTTTACAAGTAGCAATTGTGACTTCCTATACCTGATTTTCAGTTCACATAATGTCTAATTAATGGTCTCCAACACCATCCAAGACTTTTCCGTTAAATTTATGTTGGTGGTAGATAGAATGGAAATATTTATTGATTCGAAAGTAGTGACCAAGTCTCTATGATCTGGTTGTCAAGTTGGTTTAAATACTTTATCTAAAATCTTTTCTGCTGCAGTCATATAACAGTCATATAAGGAAGAGTCGGCTTTGTTCTGAGAAAAATATTTAGTGCTAATTCACATGTTGTCATATGTTTCTTTTCCTCTTTTTAAACAATAAGGTGACAACTCTCATCTCTCCCTTGGATCTGTTAGAAATTTTCTCTCAATGCAAGGCAAGTCCTCCCACAATCATCTTTATCGACTCTTCTCCAAATTTCTCATTTTAGCTTCTTGAGTTCTCATGCAAAAAAGGAAGAGATGGTGGAAACTTCATGAGCGATGAAGCCTATGTTGATGCTTGATGTAGGATTCATATGTATCTCTGAAGATAATGCTCCAAAGAGTCAAATGGTGTATTGATGAATAACTGTCCAGTCACAAGCGTTTAAAAATTAATCCCAACTAAAAATTGAAAATGTAATATCTTTACTTCTACTGCCAAGATATTGAAAGAGCTTTGTACAAATTCTTGAATCGTCTCCATCAGATAATCGAATTAAAATTTACAAACTTTGAAAGTTTAGGGGTCAAATTCTAAAATTGTGACAGGTAGTAATGTCTCCATGACTTCAGTGCAAATATCACTGTTGTTAACTCCAAGTCATGAGTGGGATAGTTCTGTTTATGCACTCTAAATTACTGTGAGACGTATGTTACTACTCTCTGAGTTTGCATCGAAACGTCTGCTAAATCTGCCAATGATATATCTGTGTAGACCACAAATGTCCCGTCATTATTCGGAATAATCAAAACTGGCACTGTGGACAACTTAGCCTTTAAGGTATAAAGGCCTCCTGGTACTCCATGCTCCAAACGAACTGTATACTCTTCTTCGTAAGGCATGTAAGTGGTGTCGCAGATAATCGAATTAAAATTTACAAACTTTGAAAGTTTAGGGGTCAAATTCTAAAATTGTGACAGGTAAAAATTCAGTCACAAACATTCTATATTCAGTCCAAACTGAATTTATGAAAATTAAACTTTTAACTATCTTCATGCAGATCTTTGAAGGTCTTTCTACCAAATCTGGAATCACGATTATCGGATATCCAAGTCAAAAGTAATGTTTGTTGAATGTCAAACACTTTAATCAAAAAAACTGCAAGAAGCAAACCCAAACTAAGAATCTTACAACTTTTTAAAGTTCAATCAGCATTCTGAAAATAAATTACACATCTTAGATATAAAAAATAGAATCTTATATATTTCATTGTTAAATTGTACTACAGTCTTGAATGTCATCATTGTTAAATTTTACCACAGTCTTAAGTGTCAAATAATTTAATTTACAAACTGCAAGCCCAAGTATCTTACAACCTTTTTACGTTCATTTAGCATTCTTAAAATAAAAAATGTCAAAGTTATGAATGTAGATACGACACTGATGATATATATCCAAAGTCATAGATAAATTGCCAAATAAAAATTTACACTCCAGTTCTTTGATATTTGTTTTTTTCTAGCCCTCCCTCTTACAATGTTAGCTTCTTAATAGGAGAATGATGCTATTACTTTTCTACCCCTTGATGCAATTAACTTTTGACCCCTCAAATAACCAAGTCTGGCACGTTCTTAACGCTTTTCTAAAGTTCACTGTATCCAAACTCTGGCAAATCAACTATTTTCCTCATACCAATTTGGCAGCAAAATCAACTATTTTGCTTTCCACTGAAAGTACATCGGTCATTTCCTTTATTGGCACCAACATCACCTTGGCCGATTTAAACATGAACCTTAGACCTTTGCAAGCCTGCAGAGCAAGGCTGGCAATTTAGCAAAAAATAATAACTAACACATCCATACATGTTACACAAGGAGGAAAACAATTTACACACCTCTTTAACATGAGCTTCTTTGTCGGCTTCAACATATATATAATTTTTAAGGTGATCTAAAGCAATTGTTGATTTGATCTGAAGTTCGGGGCTGTCTATATATTTTTGCATGAGGCAAATAGCTGTCTCACGCTCATGACCAATCTGACATGCAAAAATAAGTTGCAGAACATCATAGGGAGAAGAAAAGGAGACTATAACTTGAGATACTCTTTCAGAATGAACTACAAGAATTTACTCAATTAACTCAATTTACTTTCCTAATCTGCTTGTACATGTAAATGATGTCCTGGAATTTAGCTGTGAGAACATGATCTAATGAATGCAAGAAGTGATACAGATACTCAACCGTAAAACCAAACAATATAAAGTTCAATATAAATTTCTCATGTTCTGAGTCCTGATAATTCCTTACTGCCTTTTCCTTTTCACCATCTTATGCCTGTGTGCCAAAATCAAACTATCTACTTTGAGAGCCAAATCATAATTGAGCATAGACTTCTCAATCCAAAGTGATGGTCCCAATAATCTATATTCAAACCAATATTATTATATTAATAAAGGGGCAAAAAAGAAGGGAACAACTATAACTGACATCTATGACAACACACATCTCTGTCAAAGAATATATGCATGCTAAAAAAGAAAAGTTATAACCTCAATTCGGTTTTTCCTCTCTTAAATTATTTAAGGTATTGATGAAGCGGATGGTATGTCAGAGACAAATTCATATGTGATGACTGAGCCTCATTCCCACAATCCAAACCGATATGAAAAACAGTTCAAGCCTTCATTAGACCGATATAATAGCAGAATCAATAACTATTTATAACTGCAGAATCAACACTAGCCTAAGAGCACATGACTTTCAATTTTAACAAGAACATGGAGCATGAATAGAATCTTAAAGTGGTTCTACTTGTATTCATCTAAAATCATATTTTTAAACTAAACTCACCTTAATCTCAAATAATTATGTTAATTTCTACCTTCAGCTTGATTACAAGGATTTTTCATTAAGAAAATTATGATGATTTTTGTTCTCAATCTAATGTCAATGATATCTTTTGTGTGTATATAGCATATTTGTCCATTCCTAAAGATAAATTTCATGGATAAATGCATTATGATGCATATTCTGAATATAAAATATGTTACGAGGAAGTATCTGTCTCTCCCCTGAGTGCATTATAGATATTCTTGTGAATAGGATTGAGTACTTCTAAGTTTCTTGCTTACTATTAAACGATAGTATCGACGTCTATCTTATTCTATATATAAAGGGTCATAGCTACTTTTAGTGCTAATTAATCATTCCTTCATGTAACAAATTTGGTATTTGAGTACGAAGTAGGATTATCAGTTAAGAATTCTTTTCTATGATTATTCTAACTCTAGATTCTTGAAGAATAATATTTAGGGAAAACTGTATACTGAACATTTTGGTCTGATTGCTCAGAGGGGGGATGAGCTTATTTACTTGTGATCTGACAAGATTATTGAAAAGGATTGGTTTTTTCTTCTTGTGATAGTTTCATTAACATTTGCAATAAGTTTGTGCAAACTGAGACCCTTTGCTGAAAATTTTAATCATTTGCTGAAAATTCTATCTTCCTTTTAAATTTAAAAAAAAACTTAAGGTGAGTAGGTTAGCTCAAAGAGAGCGTAACTAAGTTACTAAGAGTACAAGTCAAAAATACATGCTGATTTGGAGCAGATTTTGGTGCTTTGCAATTATCTATATTTTATTTTGTTAGTTGGAAATACTTGGGACACCCCTTCAGATTATTAAACATGTTGAATCAATGTTATCATATATATCTTCATGCTCCCTACTTGGCGATCTCCTTCAGATTATTAAGCACGTTGAATCAATGTTATCATATGTATCTTCATGCTTCATTCTTGCTTTACTATTTTAATACTCATATTTCATCACTTTGCTTTGTTTGTTCTTGTCATGTTACTGTCTTCTTTATTAACTATTTTGATGTATTTTTCTTTTTATTAAACACCTAGCAACTCCTGATAAATTTCTTCATCCCCTTCTCTCTTTCCCCCACCCTTTTTCTACAGGACACTGTATTTAATCTATATGCTTTGAGCTGCGGACATCTTTTCTGCAAAAGCTGTGCTTGCTCTTCAGCTTCTGTGCTGATTTTCCAAGGTCTCAAGACAACATCTAAGAAAGTGAAGTGTCCGGTGTGTAGATCGGTATGAGATAATTTAATTGTTTATTCATCAACTTTATTATGCATCTTGACTTGTATTTTGCGTGAATTATCTCCCTTTTTGTTGCAATGTTGATCCTGATACTAGGTTTTCTTAATGTTTTCTTTTGCATATTGAATTATCTCCCTTTTTGTTGCAATGTTGATCCTGATACTAGGTTTTCTTAATGTTTTCTTTTGCATATATGAGACACTAATCCAATGTTGATCCTGATACTAGGTTTTCTTAATGTTTTCTTTTGCATATATGAGACACTAATCCAAGAGTTTTTTTGTGAAAATTTCAAATTTTATGTTATCTGATGGTCCTTTCAGACTTCATAGTTTTTATGGAGGCAACTTGTTTGGCTCTGATTTGCCTGCCTGGGAAGTGTTTTGTTTAGAACAGAACTAACTAAAATCAACACCTCAAAATCTCGAGAAGGTCTTCTATTCCAACTTGTAGGCTTCTTATCAATTTTCTTAAACATTCGCTCGCCAATCTTAATATGACCATTGGATATACATTAATAGAAAATGTCTGAATGCAAGTTCTTCCAATCACATTTGAAACCTTTTCCATTTATTCACTACAGGTGCAAATTTAGTTTAACCCTTCATTTGTATGAGTATAGATACTCCATTTGGTTTTTTACCTATCCTTTTGTTTATGTTTGTTTGCTGGCAGGGGTTCTTCTACGGGGAGAGGTGCCCAATCTAAAGCCTGCATTGATTCAGCTATGCCCTCATATTGCCAGAGATTGGTTTTACGGTGAAGATAAGGAACATAACATTAAAGTGGTTGTTCCATGATTGTCTGTCTGTGGCCAACTTCGGTGATCAACTGCTTGCGGTTTTTAAGTTTTGTTTTTGCATGTAACATGTTCCTTATCTTCCCAGTGAACTTGTGACTTGGCATATTCTTTCATGCTTCTCTTATCTTTCCTTTACCCAATGAACTAATGTGATGTTGAATATTAGTTATTTGCAGCTAAGATCAACTAACTTTTTTCTTGATTGTACGGTCACTTTTATCACGTGCACCATATATTTGGTTGATTAGGTTCCTTCTCTATGAACAATATTCTAATTAGTCCTGTGAGATAATGTTTAATTGGCATTCATCTTATGTATTGTGTATAAGTTCAATGCAAAATTATGAAAACATTATTAATTTTAACTCTTGTAGTTTCTAAATATGTATCACGTTGAATGTATGTATCCATATGTTTGATATATGGATTAAATTAAATAAATCTTAATGAAATGAATCAATAACAAAAGAATAAATGAAAAAATTTACCACGTGCATTGCACGTGCAATCCTACTAGTGTATATATATATATATTAGTTGACACGTGCAATGCACGTGGTTGAATATTATAATTATTTAAATTGGTAAAAGTAGAATAAAAATAAAAAAGAAAACAAAGTTTTTTGTGCGATTGATAGAAAAACTTTATTAAATTTTTACCAAACTGAAGTAAAGCTGCAAATTACAACACCTTAAAATATTTCAAAGAAGCACTTGAGGAGCAACACTTGTACTTGAAGAATTGATTAACTTTTATTCTTTAAAAAATATTACAAAGAATAATATCATCAAGGGATGGTTCAGCATTCTCCATATTATAAAAATAAAATTGAAAGTATGAATAATTATTTTCTTGCAAAATTAGAGCAGAGAGATTATGATATACTTCTCCATGTGCTCTAAATATAAATTTTTCTTTTTTCTTAGATGTAAGGTCCCTATCATATCTTGCTCCAAGTGACGTGAATGAAAAATGCTCTTATAACTTACTTGCCTAGGACAATTGTATTGTATATAGGACATATAACTCATCTGGAATATCCACATCTGCTAAGTGGATTTTGCTGTTGCGAGAGCAAAATGTTAGAGACTTGTATTCAAATTTTTTGGCTCTATAAAACACACAAGAATTTAGAGTGCTTAGCTTATATATTGTAAACTGGTTCATAAAGAATTTTTCCTAATAACAATATTATTACAACGATACTTCTATTCAGTATTAAATCAATTTTATTATATAAGATTATATGACCCTTTTTAAAAAATTATATATATGTCTATATATATATATATATATATATATAATAAATAAATATTATTAGAGCTTCTCTTTATATTAAATTTAAAAGTAATAATTTAAATTATTAAGCACTAAATATTAGTTCATGTGACAAAGTAAAGTAATCTATGGTCTATATACCTATTTAGTCAATCAATCAAACATATTAAAATTATGATAATCACAGTCAAAATTATATGGTGGGTTCACATTAAATATAATTTATAAAAAAATAGTATATTAAGGTTAAATTACTTTTAACCACTATATAGATTGTCTGAAAATATTTGCATATATAAACTATACTGCTTAGGAAGAGTGATGTGCACTTTACTATGGCCTAATACATCTTAAGAATGACTAACTCTTCATTAACATTATTAATTGATGAATCTATGCATTACACTAAAAACACAATGAAAATTTAGAAAACTATAAAAAAAACTCCCTCAAAGTTTTAAAAATTCTAAAAAAACACTCTAAAAATTTGTAATTTATAAATATACAAAACTATTAAACATTACATTGAAATCAAGGAATTGCAAAAAATCATTAAAAATTTTTAAACTTTGGATGTGTAATTTGCAATGTACTAAACTTTAAGGGTATTTTTTTTATAAATTTTAAATTTAATAGATTTTTAATTAGTTATGTTCTTTTCAAAAACGTTATGGCTAATATTGACCATAAAAAGTATTTCCTAAACCTATACTTTTAAAGAGAGTATGATATTTTTTAAAATTTTTTAATTTTCTAGGGGTTTTAGTAAGTTTGTATATTCATTTTAGTGTCTATAGGTTAGAAATTCTCATGGTGTTGTTTTTGAAAATTATGATTTTAGGGGTTTTTTCTAATTTTTTAAACTTATAGGCCATTTCTACATATTGTAAATTGTTTACATACTATATTTATAATTTATTTGTTTTCAATTTAATAATGAGTTTGCAATTCTCAGGGTGTTTTTATAAAATTTAAATTTTGAGTTTTTGTTTGTATTTTTTGAAACTTTAAGAGTGTTTTCTATAAATTATAAATTATGTAGGAGATATTTATAATTTCTATATTTGTAGACGTCAAAATTTACCTATAGGTTCCCGCGCACAGCTCAAAATAAAGAGAAGACGATGAACGTTATTATTTGAGTCAAACGGGATTATCCGTACTGTAATAGAGCGTATGAGTCAACGAAATGATGAAATCCGCTAAACGACAGAACAAGACTGTTTTCGGAGAAAGTTGCCTTCATTGTCGAATTCATTATAATCTGGATCGCTTACGAAGAATTCAAGATATTCAATAAAAATAATAAGAAAATGAAAGATTACAACTTTTCAAAAATAACGCAAGATCCGTTCGTCGTTTCTTGCTTGTGTGGGTCTTTAGCCGGTGACGGAGACGTTGATATCCGTGGACTACCTGGCAATCAGATCAGGTCCAGAACTTCGTCGATCTACGAAGGAATCTAGAAGCAGAAGCGCCTATCTCGACAACAGCGAGATAATTGCTCTTTTTAGAATTATCACAACGGGATAATACTAAGGATCGGATGTGGGTGATGCAGATCTGACGACTCTCGATCTCTTGCGTTGAAGAACTCGATCACTCTTCAGTCCAGCAAGTCTTCGCTAATTCTCTAAAACTCCAGATCTCCAAAAATGAGGCTCCGGGGCTCGTATTTATAGGCACGGGATGATTCTGAGTTGGAGACACCCTCTGGTGTCTCAACCAGGGCCGAGACACTTCGGGTGTCTCAGTTCAGCCTGAGACTCTCGTTATGCCTGTTCGATTGTTTTCGCCGTAAATTCTTTGTCCGAACTCGGATTTGAGTGATTCAAAGTGCATTGGAAAGCCGACGAGGAGTTCTATAAGCTCCAATGATTAAATCATCCATAGAATAAATGATACACGAAGGGTATTTCACCATTTGTGAACGATACGAGGTTCCCGATCAGTTCGTGTCTTGTTATTTTGAAACTCCGTTGCTTCACGTAGTTCGTCGGTTTACTTCAAGCATTCACCGACATCAATCAAGCTTTTGTGAACTAGATGGTGACATTCATCGTCATTTCTTAACACTGAACTGTTCGTGGAGACATATAGGCAATTTTCGATGCCTACAGATACCCCCTCCAAAGCGTTCCAGACTCGTTTCTTTTGTAGAAGAGGCTGGAATACTTTGGATGTGATTGGTCCAGCCTCCAGTCGGCGTAAAGGACCTGTAGTTAGCTTCGATTTTCGACTCCTTCGATTTTCAGTCTACTCGATGCTTTGATGAATAGCTAAAATCCTTCCAGCGCTGCGTTTATCGTCTGGCCGTCGTCGAAGTCTCAAATCTACAACTGATGAGTTGAGTTTGGCTCGTGTCATTGAGTTGACTTTTCGATCGCAACGTGTTGACTGGCATTGACTGGCGTTGACCTAGGGTTACGCGTTGACCGACGTTGGCCCTAGGGTTTCGAACGTCGTACGTTGACTTTTTGATCGCAACATGTTGACTGGAGTTGACCTAGGGTTACGCGTTGACCGGCGTTGACCCTAGGGTTTCGAACGTCATACGTTGACTTTTTGATCGTAACGCGTTGACTGGCGTTGACCTAGGGTTACGCGTTGACCGACGTTGACCCTAGGGTTTTGAACGTCGTACGTTGATTTTTTGGTCGCAACGCGTTGACTGGCCTTGACCTAGGGTTACACGTTGACCGACGTTGACCCTAGGGTTTCAAACGTCGTACGTTGACTTTTTGGTCACAACGTGTTGATTGGCATTGACCTAGGGTTACGTGTTGACCAGCATTGACTCTAGGGTTTCGAACGTCGTACGTTGACTTTTTGGTCACAACGCGTTGACTGGCGTTGACGTAGGGTTACACGTTGACCGGTGTTGACCCTAGGGTTTCG